GTTTATCGCTCCATGGGTGTGCGCTTCTTCTTAAAATGTTAATTGTGCGTTCGATCTTTACCCTGGACTTTATTCAGTTGCTCTTCTGGGTGGTCTTTTGCATAGTGGATTTTTGTATGTGAAGTTCCCAGTAGTCTGAATGACTACTGACTGTTAAATATGGAGCAAGCTAATGGAGAGTTAAAGGAAGTCATGCCAGAGACTGGCTGCCTGACTGATTTCTAAATGAAAAGAGCACATTAATCCAAATAAAGCCCACTGCCATTGAGTCCATTCTGACTCAGACCGACCTGGAGGGACAGGATAGAACTGCTCCCCAGGATTTCTGAGATCCTACGGAAGCAGCCAGCCACATCTTTCTCCCTCAGAGCAGCTTGTGGGTTCAAACTGATGACCTTGCAAGTTAGCTCCCCAGTGCGCAATTCACTACATTTCCAGGGTTTCAATAAAGAGCCTATAGGGCATGTATGAGGATTAAGTGGGTAGTAGCACTTGAAACTTGCCTTGCACATATCAAATACTCAAATAATAATTTGTTTCAGCAGGCACACGAAGCAAGCAATTTATTTTGATGACAAATTCAGGAAAGACAAAGTGAACTGAAAGCAGAGATAGATGGCCTCTGCTTATTAACCAAATAAACCCTATGAGTCTGAACACTGTGTGAGAGTGGAAACAGCTATTACATTTCAGGGCTTGAGAACTGGCACCGGTAGGACTGATCTGGTTTGAGAGATTTCTGAGTTGGAAACAGCATCAGACAGTCAAATGAGAAATCTATTTGGCTCTATGCCTTCTGATCATGGAAAGGCTGGCCAGTCTGGTGATGGTGCTGAAGTTCATTCACGTCAGAAGAACATATTGCACAGGCTCTGGAGAGCACGTGCAGAGTAATTTATCTTGGCTCCCCTTCAAGTTTAAAGGGAAAGACTAGCAATACTAACATTTAGTTATGATTTGGTAGATTTCACCCTGCAAGCGTTTGCTTAGTCACCCTGTAGACACACTGAGTCTGATTACTGGATCCATAAGGCCCAGGCTGACAGTGTTTAAAAGCCGTGCAAGTGAAGGAAATACCAAAAGCTCTCTGGGATCTTTTATTTTGCTTTTTAAAAAATTAAGTTTATGCTCCTCTTAATAAGACTTTTGAGAGCCTATGGCATATATGGGAATGTTAGCCTCACTTGGGTCCAAATAAAATAACAGGTTTACTCAATGATGTCTGTAAGGAGGCAAAAGATAGGTCCTGTTTTTGAGGAACTCATGAGCTTATCAGGGAGATAATTAAATCACTAATTTATTGACATATTTAGTCATTCACTCAACATTCAGCATTTCCTATGTGTTCAGTGTTATGGGTAATACCTACGATGCAATAATAAAAGCAGCATGTTAGTGAGTGCCGAGATAGACACACACACACACACACACACACACACACACACACACACACACACACACACTGACGCTCTGGGAGAGAGTTTCCAGAAGAAAGTTCTGAGCAATTGGGAGAGGCTTTGTGAAAGAAATGGTACTTAGCCTTAAGGCAAGAGTACCTGGAGAGAGAAACAGAGGGACATCCCCCGGAGAAAACGTATCTGGGTGTACATCAGGCACGAGTGATGGGACACATTGAAAGATGGATTTCCACAGAGGGAAGACAAGAATTAGTAAAGAGTGAACATTCACTTAGACCAGTGGTTTCAACCTTCCTAATGCCACGGCCCTTTAATACAGTTCTTCATGTTGTGGTGACCCCCAGACCATCAAATTATTTTTGTTGCTTCTTCATACTGTAATTTTGCCACTGTTATGAATCAGGCGACCCCTGTGAAAGGGTCGTTCGACCCCCAAAGTGGTCGCAACCCACAGGTTGAAAACCGCTGAATTAGACTCTTTTGTCTCCTATTCCATAGGTAAATAATGCCCAGAAAATGAAGCAGAGCAAAATTGAAGTCAAGCCAAGAAGATGTCGAGAAAAAGTCTCAGACCTAATGGCACTGTGGCGCCAATTCATTCAATATTTGAGAATGAAATTCGACTTTCATGACTGAAAATTAAATCGTCTTTAGTAGGTAACGGGGGTGTTAAATATAGCTATGACATCTGAAAAGATCGCCAGTAGTTTTCTGGTTTTGGCTTTAACTATAGAAAAGTTTCTTAACTTATTTTTTTATTCTTTTATATATATGTTTAGATAGAGATTTATAATGCAGAACGGCGCCCCTAGGTGACACAGTTAAGCAGTCAACTACTGCACAAGCCCAAGGTTGGCATTTGGAACACACCCAGCGGCCCCTTGGAAGACAGGCCTGGAAACCTGCTTCGGAAAGAGCGCAGCTTGTGAAGAAGCGACCCGGCTCCCACGGGCTCCCCCCGTGAGTCAGCAATGTGAAGGCAACTAACCAACCACGCAACGTGGGGAGACTGTCCGTAACGTAGCTGACCAGACCAGTGGCTTCTTGGCCCTAATTCTCAGCTGGAATTGCACAAACCGTACTCGAGGAAAGGGTTTACAAATGTATTTACAGGGGGAAAGGGTTCCCTTAAAAAGGAAAAAGTTTAACTCTAAGCCTCCATCGGTTAAAACAACCAGTGCATCTTCCACAAGTAAAGATAATCAATGTGTCCTCACCCTAACAATTTACAAAAGGGAAATACAAGCAAAATAGGTTGTGCGAATAATTTTAAACATAATGAATTAACTGGCGAGAATTGTCTAGCCAAATGTTGTGAACATATCCTAAGCCAAGTTTTCACTTTTAATTTCCTAATGAAATACTTATTCAGGAAGTAGATCCCGAAGAAGTAGTTTTGTTACAGCTAAGATGTATATTTTTTTAAATTTATGGAACATGACTTTAATTTATTTTGTGAGCACTTTTAAAATGTAAATGTTGCGTTGTAACTGACACTATGTGTTTCTTAATAAAAGAATTCTCTGATGGATTTTTTGAGAAGTCTTTTTTTCATTTCGCTAACAGGCAGTTTTCAAGCACCCCTTTCTGTGGGCTGTCCCTTTTCTCTGGGTTTTCATCTCCCCTCACCCTTGGAGTCCTTGGACTCCATCCTGCTTACTGGCACCTGCTAGCCCTGCCCCCTCTCCCCCCGCTGAAGAGAATGAGTGGCTTCGGGACTGAGTTTCTAGGTGGTACAATTGGCGAAAGTGTTTACCTGTTAACCAAACGCTGGTGATACGGTCTACCCAGAGGTGTCTCCGAAGAAAAGCCTGCCTATCTACTTCCGAAAAATCAGGCCTTGGAAACCCAATGGAGTTTTAACACAGCTTTAGACACACGGGGTCACCAGGAGTCAAAACTAACCTGATGGTTATTGGTTCATGGTTACCTTCAGGGTGCATTCCAATAGTCATTCCCTTAATTTATATCACCAGCCTTGGTTATTTTCCCCTGTTGAACTTGGCACATGATGTGGAAGAGACAAAAAAGACAAAAAGCTATCAAGTCCATGCTTGTTTTTGAATGCTTGCACAAGCCAGAGCCACAGGCACCCTCTCACACCTTACTCGGAATCTTGACTATGAGTGGAAGAATTAACACTAGCCCAAAAACCCAGTTAAAAAAAAAGTGAAGATGGAAATACACTGATTATTCCTTCAAGTGGAAACCATTCCCCGACCACTGCCTAAGGGCTGGAGGTGACCTGAGAAAGAAAAAATATTCAGTGTCCCTAAATCAGCGGTTCTCAACGTGTGGGTTGCGACCCCTTTGGGGGTTGAACAACCCTTTCACCGGGGTCACCTGATTCATAATAGTAGCAAAGTTACAGCACAACATGGGGTCGGCACAACCAGAAGAACTGTATGAAAGGGTCAGAGCATTAGGAGGGCAGAGAACCACTGCCCTGTATCTATTTTAGGTGCCATTGAGTCAGTCTGAACTCCTAGGAACCCTGTGTGCAGCAGGAGGAAACATTGCATAGTCCTGTGCCAGGCTATATTATTTCCTGGGGCCTTGTTTTTTAGCTAACGCATTCAGTGCAGCTTGAACTTCTTTCTTCAGTATTATTGGCTCTTGCTTATATAACACTTCTTGAAATGGTTGGATGTCATCTAGTTCTTTTGGGTAACATGACTATGTGTTCTTTCCATTTCCCTTCAATGCTCCTTCACTGATCAGTATTTTGCCTAGATAGTCTTTCAATATTGTGCCTCAAACTAGAATTTTCTTGAGTTCTTTCAGTTTAAGATCTGCTGAGTGTGTTTTTCTTTTTGGGTTTTCTAACTCTAGTTCTTTGTACATTTCCTTTTCTTACGTTGTCTTCTGGATCTGACCATTGAAATTTTCTGTTCAGCAATTTGACTTCATTTCTTCCATTGTCCTTAGCTACTCTATGATTAAGAACAAGTTTCAGAGTCTCTCTTGACATACTTTGATCTTTTCTTTCTTTCTTGTCTTTTTAATGGCCTTTTACTTTCTTCATGGAGAATGTGGTAGTTACATAATTTGGTGTCACTTGGAGACGTAAGAGTAAAGGGGTGTTTAGCCTGCCAATCAGGTTGCAGCTGATGACCTCATTTGGAGGCACTAAGGAGATAAATAGCTCACTGGAGGCGGGGCACTGACACTTTTTGGGAGACATTCCTGTTGAGAAGACACAT